ACACACACACACACACACACACACACACACACACACACACACACACACACGAGGGTTAGGGGAGTGGGGGAAGAACGTCCAAGGCCCAAAAGGACACTGCTGAGTTCTATCAGACCTCTGAAGAGAAGTGACACCACACTTCTTCAAACTCCAGCATGAAATAGGAGAACACAGCCACATTCATTTAACACAGCCACCACCACAGATACCAAGCCAGACAAGGACCCCGCAACAACAGGCGATTAGAGGACCATCTCTCTGCTAGACACGGATCTGGAAATCCTCGCTAGAAGAACTTGCAATTGCAATCAACTACGAGTAAAAACCAGTGTTTGCCCTGAGCTAGTCAGTTTCATTCCAGGAAGGCAAGGATGGTCTGAGACACTCCTATCGTCAAATTCATCAGCAGACTCCGAGTAGGAATCGCTTCTGCGTTTCCAGAGATGCAGAGGAAGTTTGACGGAGTCCAGTATCCTTTCATGATAAAGCCCTGAAGAAAATACGGAAGAGTATACCTCATCATAATAAAGAGTATAGACAGCAAACTGATGGCCACGGTTATACTGAGGGGAAAGCATCAAACCATCAGCAGGAATGTGACAAAGACACCCACCTCCTCCACATTTACTCAGTATGTCTGGGAAGTCTTTGCCAGGAGTAGGCAGACAAAAGAAATACAATGGTTACAAATAAGATATTGAATGCCTCTTATTTGTTCACGTGGTTTATTACATTAAAAAGAATCCTGAAGACTCTTAAGATAAGTAACGAGGCACAAACTCAACATCTAAAACGTCAGATTTTCTATATACCAACCCCGAAATCGGCAAGACACAAATCATGGAAATCAATTAAACAGGGGTAAAACTAACTTAGGGATAAGTAAAAGATCTTAACAATGGTAAACTTGAGACGCCAAAGTGGGGGAAAAACTGGAAAAGATCTTGAGATGGAAAAAGCTCCCATCACAGCGTGAATAACCAGAGTGACTATGATCCGCATCACAGTTCCAAAGACAATCTTCAGAGACATAGGAGGAGGAAAAAAAAAAAAAAAACCTCCTAAAATTGATACCGATGCACAAACAACTCCAGACAGCCAAAGCAATCCTGAGCAGAAAGAACAGAGTTCAGGGAGCCGTGGTGTCTGGTATAAGCTATACTACAGAGCCATGATAATGAAAACAGCACGGCACATCCTTAAAGTAGCGGGTGCGGAATTAATCCATACAACTCCCTGACTTTTTGAAGAAAGCACAAGAGACCTACTGGAGAGTGGAGGGCCTCCCTGACAAACGGTGCTGAGCCCAAGGCAGAATGAAAAGTGTACAGAGATCATCTCAAAAGGGATCACAGACTCCGATGTGAGGCCCGGAAGCTTGAGGCTGCTGGGGGAAACGCTTAGAGATACAGGCGCTGGCAAAGGCTTTCTGAATTTCAATAGCTCAGGAAATCATACCAAGAACTGACAGGTGGCACTCTATGAAACGAAGAAGCAGAGGAAACAGTAAATGCTGAAAACCAGTGGTCCTCAATCTTCCCAATGCTGCGATCTTTAATACAACTCCTCGTGTTGTGGTGACCCCCAAACCATAATTTTGTTGCTACTTTGTAACTGTCATTTTGCTATTATGAATCAAAATGCAAATATCTGATACCTAGGGGGTCTGATATGTGAGCCCAATGGGGGTCATGACCCACAGGTTTTGAGAACCATGGCAGAAGAGGAAGCCCACAGAACGGCAGAGAATCTTTGTGCACTACAGATTGTTAATAATATGCAGAATATATAAAGCCCATGTATAAATGTGGTCTCATAGCTTTAGGCAGGGCACTGAGAACAGAAATACACGGCCTGCCTCCCTTCCTTGTGGGCATGGGTTTTAAACTTCATAGGGACCAAAGAGAAGCGGTAGTAGGCATTTTAAAAAGTCAATACTAAAATATCAAACAAGTCCATCAATAAATGGGCAAACGGCAAACAGAAGAGCAAACAGGACGGATACGGAAGAACATGCCTTTAATCCCAGCACTTGGGATGCAGAGGTAGGTGGCTCTCTGTGAGTTCCAGGACAGCCAGGGCTGCACGGTGACCACATATTATAAAAAAACTTAATAGAAAAAAGAAAAGAAAGCTAAAGTGTAAACAGTCAATAAACTTACAAAAAAAAAAAATTCAACATCCTTAAGTATCAAGGAAATGCCAGTCAATACTATCTTGAGATTCTCCCCCTCGTTTGAACGGCAGTTATTAAGGAAACAAGGAGCAAACGTTGGTGGGGGATATGGATAAAAAGAAGCCCCCTTGGGGCTGGAGAGATGGCTCAGCGGTTAAGAGCACTGACTGCTCTTCCAGAGGTCCTGAGTTCAAATCCCAGCAACCACATGGTGGCTCACAACCATCTGTAATGAGATCTGATGCCCTCTTCTGGTGTGTCTGAAGACAGCTACAGTGTATTTACATATAATAAATAAGTAAAGCTTTAATAAAAAAAAAAAAAGTCCATATAAAAAAAAAAAAAAAAAAAAAAGAAGCCCCCTCATGCTGCTGGTGGAAACTGAACCAGCCTGGCTGCCATCAACATCGGTATGGAGGTTTCTAGAGAAAACAAAACTGGAAATGTCGCATGACTTGGATATGCCAATTCTCGGTTGTAAGGCATGGCAGGGTATTTATTCTGCTACACTGTATTTGCAGTGGAGCTCTGTGATTAGGCAGTAGAAGAGGAGGTAGAGCTGGGAGAAGAAGAGAGGAAGGGGAGGGGAGAAAAAGAGGAAGGGGAGGAGAAGGAGGCTATGGACCACCAAGAATCACGGATGAGTCGAAAGCTGTCCTGGGTAGCAACTTCTATCAAAAGGTTAGATATTGGGTAACAACTCTAATTGTGTGGACATCTTGTTGATTGAGCATTTCTAAATATATAAATCCTTTAGATAATCATTAAGCTTTAAGAGTCTCATTTCTACCAGGCACTGCAAGGATGGCAGACATTGTCTGGGGTTCAGCCGAGCTTTCTGGATGCAGTGTGAGGGACTGGCAGAGCCATCCCCCCATGCTGGTGTCTCATGGGTGCCAGGACCTGCACATCTAGTTAGCTGGAGCCCTGGTCAGAGCCAAGGAGCAGCGGGAACATGGTGGCTGCCTGGGAACAAGTTGGACCGAGCGCCATCTTTTTAAATATCACCCCTACAAGTAAGGTACCAGAGGGCTTTAAGCCACAGAAATACAGAGCCGTCTGTACAACTGTTGTTAGGGGTCTGCCCCAAACTGCCGAGTTGTGGGTCCTGCATGGAGGTCTGTCCACCAGGGACACGCGCCGGAGTGTACGCAGTTGAAAAGACAGGAGTGATGCTATCCACCAAAGCGAGCAGACTGAACCAGACTCAGACACGTATCACATCTTCTTCTCGTTTATGGACTCTAGATTTTTTTTTTTCCCCGCAGCTACATAAAGCCATTTACACGTGCACACACAGCATGAAATCAGAAGGGAGGCTGAAGGATGGAAAGACGATCGATCAGGTAGAAGGACACGGAGAACGGAAGGAACGGATACAGGCCAGCACGGTCAACGCACACAACATACTTCAGAGGGACGGTCTGTGAAACCCAGCACTATGTAAAGAAAAACAAAACAACAACAAAACCACACCAAACCCGAGCCATTACTCTGTAAGTCCCACAGCCTGGTGTCTTTCTGATTAGGATAGTGAAGAGAAGAGTTATTTCCAAAGGATATTGATGCATATGAGATACACAATAAACTCGGTGGGGTTTAAAACAAAGACATCAGAGTAGGACTGGCTGCTGGAAAGAAGGAAAACGGGTTTGGGGTAGAGACAGCTGAATCACGGGATAAGAAAATAACCTAAATTCAATATAGTCACGTTTGAAATTATCAAGGAAAAAAAATTTTTTTTAAATCAAAGCTTGGCGTGGATTACTGACAAATGAGATAACATTTTTAAAAAAATTCCTAAAAGGGGGTTAAAAAAATATTTGCAATTCAAGTAAAGCAGATTTGGAGAAAATCCTGCTAAATGTGCCTCTGGTGTCGCTATCCAAGTATGTGAGCTTATTTATTCCCGCTACCAGAAATAGGGGCGGCAGCAAATATATTTCTCTAGTATTTTTGCTCACATTCCCTTTAAACATCAATGTTAAAAATTTAAAAGCAAAACAAATGGCGGCTGTTCCTCTCTGGTGCAAGGAGGGTATTCAATCTTGCACAAACACTACCGTGAGCAGGTACCTACTTGGGAGACATTCTTCAAGACAGTCCCAGTGATATTTAAGCTTTCCCCTTCTAGAACAAATTTGAATGTATGTGTGTGGCTGTTTTGCCTGCAAGCACGCCTGTATACTACATACACGCTGGCCCTCTGGCCGGAAGCTGGAGCCTGGAGTCCTAGAGATGGTGTTTTGGGGGGGGGGGGGGGAGAAGGATGGCAAACCTCTCATCATCCATCTCCAGGCTGGACTCGCTCTCGGAGAGCTGGCGACACAGCGCTTCTCTCCTCTCCATCTCCCTCTGGAGCTTCCGCTGCAGCCGCAGGTTCTCTTCCCTCATGTGCCGTTCCTCTTCCAAGTACTGGGCCATCTTCTCCGAATCTGGAAAGCCAGAGCTGGCAATTAAGCTGTGTTTCACGCAATCATTACCCCACAGTGGGGTGGCCTTGCCCTACCGTGTGAGACCCTGGGGTTTAAGATTTATCCTAAGTATCAAGGTTTACAGGCGAGTGACATTTAGTAAATAATCTGACAGGGTGAAGCGTCTTTGCCCCATTCCCTTGAGGTCATAGGTCAGGGGCTCCAGGCCCATGCACAAGACAGCTGGAGCTGAGTTTCATTAACTACCTTGTCAGACTTCCTTCTCCGCTGTGGGGGCTGGGAGAGAGCCTAGACAGGGACAGACTGGCCCGCTGGTTTCCCTCTAGGCTGCCTGTCCACTCTACACAGGCCATCCTGGGAGGGCAGGAGGCCTGCCACCCTCGTTAGCACACCCACCATGCACAGTCGAGTAACTCTCAGAAGTAGTGTGACAACAGACCACACTCGGTGACAGGTAACATTCCTGTAAAATAGATTCTTGTTTATACAGTCAACAAAAACCCTTTCCCACTGAGTGCATGTAAGCCGTGCGTGTGTATGTGTGTATGTGTGTGACACACATACACACCACCTCTGCAAACGGCTTCACTCCTTCTGTCATAGGGGTTCTGGGGATCAAACTCAGGTCCTCAGGCTTGCTGGCAAGCCTCTTTACTCACTGAGCCATCCCACCCGCCCAATGACTTCTGGTGACCATGACACTAGTGGACAAGGCCCAGGGAGGCGAGAGGACTTCCGATCCTTCCCGCTGAAATGACAGCTGCTAGGAATTCAAGATCCTCCCAGTGAGCAGTAAGTAGCCACAACCACTGAACTGTCTCTTCAACCTGAAATCTGTTTCAGAAGTTAAAATGTTCAGATTCCTAGACCCTATGTTGTAGACTAAATACTAAATCTCTCTGCTGTTTTGAACGCAGCCCTGAAACCCCCAACGCCTAAATCACAGGCGAAGGCCTTTTAATTGAAGTGATAGGGGCAGGGGCGGATTCTTACAAAGCTCACTGTTAATATGAACAGCTTAAATGAAGTCTCCCCAGGTATAGTTGTGTGCATGATTGTTCAACAGGAATCACCAGGTGGCCCCGGGCATACCTATTGTTGCCCAGAGTCAGATGGCGGATACAGAGCAGAAGTTCCCAGAACCGAGGATCCCGAGGGCTTCAAGAACAGTAATTTAGGAGGAAGCATTGCATTTTCAGAGGAAACTGTCTTTCACATTGGATGTGGGACATGTGCCTATTCCCAGCACCTGAGGGTGGGTTAAGGCAGGGGAGTTGAGAATTCGAACTCTGCCTTGGCTACACAGTGAGACCCTGTCTCCAACAAGAATACACCATAACAAAAATTCAAGGAGAAGGTAAGTCGTTCGCTATGGGGACTCAGCAGAGGAATGCTGAGACAGTAACTTTGAGATAAGAATGTCACGCCAGGTAGAAATGCAGGGGCTTCCAGTGTTGGGACCCAAGCACAGGAGGCCGAAGCCAAGGCCTCCCTTGGGCGCCCCCTGCTGGTGACCCTCTTCTCTTCCCACAGCTTTCCGGTCCTCAGAGATCATCACCCATATATTCTCCTACCTCCTAAAATGTAATCAAAGGTGCCATCCAGTGAGGGTGTCATCAAACTAGCTTCAGAGTGACATTCTCACAAGCAGGTTATGTTTCCTGTCCCTTTCCCAGGTACAGACTACATGGGGACTGAGCCCCAAGGCAGAATTAAAGGCTCAATTCAAACTCAGAACTCTCGAGAGTCAGGCCGACTGGCTAACTGTCACAGCTACGCCCAAGGAGGAGCAGGCCAACTGATACACAAAGTTGGAGACCCCTTGCTCCCAAAGACGGGGTGAATAATTGACACAGCTTCCTCTAAGCCAGCCGTTCTCAACCTATGGGGTAGACACCTCTTGGGGCCGGGGTTGAATGACCCTGTCTCAGAGGACAGAGAACCACCCAGTGCTGGCAGCCAATGGTGGTGCCCACAGACTTAACAGAGACTGAAACGGATTTTGTAGGTGTGATTATGCCAAGGCTCCAGGGGTGGTGAGACAATCCTGGATTATCAGGGTGGGTATAAGATACGAGGGTGAGTCAGAGTTTGAAGGTGGCCAGGACTGGAGAGGACACGGGAGTTAGATCCCCACAAGGGAGAGCCACAGCAGAGGCACGGATGGAGCCTGATGCCACACGTAAGACGGCGGCTCCACGGGTCAGACCTCCGGCCTCCAGAGCTGCTGTGCCTATGCTTGTTACAGCAAAAATGAGAACATGTCATACTTCTGAAGGCCTCCAGGATCTTGACATGCCATCCAAGAGAGAGCACTGAACTACTCCTCGGAATGCACCTTCAGTAGGAGCCCGAGGCTATCAGTATGTAGTCTATGGAGTGGACTGCCCTGCTCAGGGATCTGCCTGAGGTACGTGCACATGCGAAGGCTTGTATTCAAGCACAGCCCAGCAACTGCGACACATCATCAGACAAAAAGGGTCCTTTGGGGCTGGTGAGATGGCCACCAAGCCTTCGGGACTGATCTGGATCCCCTCAACCTCCACGGTGAGAGGAGACAACCTATCCCCATACACTGTTCTCTGATCAACATGTGAGCACCAGGCCATGTGCACACACACGGTAAATGAAAAAAGTAATTAGAAGTGTTTTGAAAAGGGACCGTCTGAATGGACCATTTCACGTATGGAATAGTCGGCCTTTACAGAGGGGGTCCCAAGGCAGAACAACTGCAGGACAAGCTGTTCTTTTTCAAGAGAAAGATGCAGTACAGCTCTTGGTATGAAGCAATTCTGTATACATGCAAACATCTGTGAGCACACAAGGTGCACCTGCGCAGACTGCTCACCTGGCAGTAACGGAGAAAGGGAAGCTCTTCCCCGGACAATACTACCTCAAGGAAAAAACCCTCTGCAGCCAAACATCACAAGTACAGCAGACCCCTAAAAATGTGGAGAAACCTAGACAAGGCTCAGAAACCCAGACCCTTGATTTTCTACAACATCCTTGGCCTTTTCCAAAATATTAAGTATGAATTTCAAGACCCATCTGTCAGGCAAATGCCACATGCAAATGTCAACGAAGATTAAACTCAGCAATAAGGAAGGAATCAGGAAGGCAAACACCCTTCACGGTCCTCCCTTCATAGGGCCGAAGTGCGGCAAGGGCTGGTAGACTGGTTAGCATCATACAGATAAAACATGATCACAAAGGTCACCCTAGCCTGATGACTAGTTTTAATTGTCAATTTGATACAGTCTAGAACTGTAACAGGCAGAAAGGAAAATATTCTAAAGAAACACTTTCGTTTTTTATTCTCTACCAGACTATGGAAACAGTGGACAAAGCTATGACTTCACCAGGAATCTCAGACTAGGAGAAGGGGGGCGGACGGGGCAGACCAGGCAGAGGGAACCTGGTCCCTGGAAGAGATTTCAGGTATATAAGCTGTGACTGAAACCTGGACAAAGATGGGCCTATGGTGGGAGGGCGGGTCCATGCCTCCACCAGAACTGCTTGGATGTGCAAATCCTTGGCTCTGTGTACAGACTTCTTTCTCACTTCAGGACTGGAGGTTGGGTCTGTTACTACGAATTGTACTGCCAAATTCTATACCTGAAGATCTTAGGCCTACAAGTGAGTTCTCAGGTTTACACCCTTTCTTGCTCCTTAAAACCACTGGTTAAATAAAAATGACAAGCCAATTACTGGAGGGATTAAAGGTAGGCAGGATCTGAGTGTTCTCATTGAGGGTGGAGAGGAGAAGACGAAGACGGCGAGAAAGAGAGAAGGCATCATGAGAGACGTACCATGAGCACACAGCCAGGAGAATCAACAAGTGGTGTTGGGGAACACCACTGGGGGGTGGGGGTGGGAGTGGGTGTAGCCAGGTCAGCAGTTAGAAAAGATTAGGGGTTACACCCCACCCCAGTAATTGTCAAAGCCAAATCAAATAGCCATAGTCTGAGTCTCATATTTGTAAGTTAGTCGGGGATAAGATTAAGTTTGTTCTACTACACAGGATCAGAAACCAGACCTGAGGGGTTGCTGGGTCTCCCCGTTCCCCTCTTCGCAGTGTGGCCGCTGAGTAAATTGTCCTCTTCTGCTTTCTACTATTAATTTGGTTTTTTTTTTACTGCCTCAGAGGACAGGTGGTCAGGCTGGGGTTAAAGGTTGTGACCAAACTCATCCAACTCCAACCCAGCCGTGTCAGATAAGAGAATCACTTGGAAAGGTGTACGGGAGAGATTATCTTAACTGAAGTGGGAAGGCATGCGCTCGCTCGCCGTGAGCCGTTCCGTTCCCAATCAGCTTCCCTGAGGGATGTGGCCCACGACAGACGGCTCTGCTGCAGTGGACAGGCCCACGCTTGTACACAGACAGCATAACTGGGTTCAGTGAGCTAAATAAAAATCGGAATCAAAGCTGGGAGTGTAGTGGTAGAGGGTGGGTGCGGGAGGGTTAGGCTGAACAGTGAATATAACAAAAATACATTATACGAAATTCTCTGCAAATTCATTGTATTTGTATGTATTAATAGATACCAACTATGCACATATATAAAAGTTATGCTCAATATATTTTATGTTTATAATATATTAATAAGGTAATAAAATATGTAAATTATACTATAACAATAAACTATATATACACATGTGTATACATATGAATAGATATGTATATATACGTGCATGTATGTATGTATATGTATGTATGTGTATATGTATGTGTCTATGTATATGTATACACACACACACACACACACACACACACACACACGCACACAAAAGCTAGCCAAGCACAGGTATCCACTTATCAAGTGTTCTCTGTTCTCAACCACGGATGTGCTGTGACCAGTTCTCTTGACTTCCTGCCTCTGTGGCCTCCCTGTTAATGATGAGCTGTAACCTGTGTGCCAAACAGGAGTGCTCTCCCTAAGTCCGGATTTTATCTCAGCAACAGGGGGAAGTAAGACACGTGGGCTCCTGCTCATTCAGGGACTCCCTCTTGAGATGATCAAAATTATCTTCGGGAAGCATTCTAAATTGTGGGCCTCTCCCACCATGATGTTTCTGTTCTAAAAATATACCCCAGAGTGACAGGGACAGCAAATGTCCATGCGTCACAGGTGATGCTGTGACCGTGGCTACTACAAGTCCCTTAGTAAAGCGCAGGGCTGACGTGGTCTGGTACAGGGAGGGGACGGGAGGCCACGTACGCTGTAACTGGGCAGCTCGCAGCTGTTTCTTCAGTCGCTCCACTTCGTTCTTTAAAAACCTGATATGCCTCATCATGTTCTCGGGAGAATCGATCTCCATGGAGATGTCTCTAGGCGATGGCGGTGCAGACACAGGCTGGTCTAATTTCTCCTGTAGGATTCTTCACAGAAAAGGGGGGGAAAATACAATAATGAAGAGCAGTTTGCAGTAGAAGAGCACAAAATATCCAAGCCCAGGGCTTGCCCGACAAGTGTCCATGGGACTTACTGAAGCCTCTGTCTCGCCACCTCTCGGCTCACCCTCACACTAGTACCGCGGACAGAAGGCAAGATCTCATTCCTTTTGTGTTCTCTGTGTGACCGTGTGTTCGTACAGGTGCACGCATGCCATCCGCATGTGAGGTCAGAGGATGATCTCACGTGTGGGTCCTCCCTTCCCCCTGTTTGTAACAAGGTCTCTTGCTGTCGGCTGCTAAGCAAGGCGAGCTGGCTCGAGCCTCTGGGATTCTGCACAGGGATTACAGCCACGAGCTAGCGTGTCCAACTTTACATGGGTGCTGGGGATCTGAACTCAGGCCCTTACATCTTGTGCTGGGAGCGGTACGTCATCCCTGTTCCTTCTCTCTGTGTGACCCTGGCAGTCAGTTCTAACTGTGAAGTCTGTGTAAACGCGTATCTGGTTACCATGCCCAGAGTCCAGCAAATACTCAGGCTTGGCTGACGACATGGTGGTTAGCAAGCCGGTTGCAGAGGATGGGAGGTAAGGAGAAACTCTACTCTCTTGTTGCTTTGGGTGAAATTTAGAAAGTGCTATGGTTTGCGCCCTGGAGGATGGCGTCACTTATAGACACTTTGAAACCTGAGCAGAAGGTTTGGAAAACTGGGGTCAATGATGAAATGTTAAAAAAAAAGACAGGATTATTTGGTCAATAACTGGTACATCCACCTTCCCTACCGATTCTCATTCAGGTAAAAGCTAGGAAAGAATCAATTCCCTTTTACCTATGAAATGACCGTTTGGTACAGCTACACCCAGTAACTTAACAGAACTGTATGTATATAAAGCCTCCAACTGCATTCCAAAAAGGCAGCTTACCTGCAACAACGTACCTGTAGCTGTACCCTAGTAGTTGAGCCAAATAAGAGGTCACTACGGATGTGGTCACAAACTAACTTTATAATTCAATTGATTAGACCTGCTACCTTAGTCCTGTTATCCATGCTGACTGACTATGGCTGGAGGATTTCTCCTAGACGTATCTTTGGTTTGCCTGGTGTCCGTAATTCTACACACGATCCAGAACAGTGTAGAACTGCACATCCAAACGGAAGAGATAGAGCACAGGCTGCTGGGAGGTTAAACACGAGTTTCTGGGGCAGGGACATGACAGTCACCTTCAAAGGGAACTATTGCTTACCACACAAAGCTCGGACAGAATGTTCCTGCCGTTCTTAAGAGCTCTGTCCCTTCCAACCCCAAAGTGCCAAGTGATAAAAAAAAAAAAAAAAAAAAAAAAAAAAAGACACGAGGCCTGTGAGTGTCTGCAAGGAGGTGACGTAAGGAACATTTGCCATGGGCTAACACTTTACATATGTGCCTATGGAACACCCAAGTATTTTAATACCCAGGTATTTATTTACAGTCGGTTTAAAAGCAAACAGATAGTCACTCTTCTATTAAAAAAAAAAAAATCACCCAAGTGAGTCAGCAAACCTCGAGATGAGCAGTGGCTAGCAGGTTAACAGTGGCATCAAGGGTGACTCTGACGTGGCCTTGAACTCATCAGTGAAAACAAATCTGCACTTGAGGGAGGAGAAAAGCCAGGCACAGAGAGGAGACTGCTGCCAGCAAAGTCAACACCTTTCCTTTAACACGTTAGCATGTGGGGCTGGAGAGATGGCTCAGTGGTTAGGAGCACTGACTGATCTCTTCCAGAGGTCCTGAGTTCAATTCCCATCACTGATGGGTTGTGGTGGCTCACAACCATCTGTAATGGGATCTGGCGCCTTCTTCTGGTGTGTCTGAAGACAGCTACAGTGTACTCATATAAATATAAATTATTAAATTTAAAATTAAAAAAAAAAAGTTAGGATGGTATGTGTCGCTCAAGCAATTCAGACCCCCCAAAGCCATCCCTAGTTAACAAACAGGAGTCTTCCAGACACGTGCATGCACACACTCACATCCACAAACCTCTCCAGACACGTACACGCACACACTCATACCAACAAACCTCTTCTCAGCTTCCAGCTTATCCATCCTCTTCCAAAGCCGATTTACCAGAGCCTCCTGTTCTTGCTCCAGTGTGTTTTCGAGGTCAATCTTCTCCCGTCTCAACTAAAGGAGGGAAAGAGGAACAGCTTTACTGAGAACGAGTGCCAGGACACCGGCGCATCCTTGACCGGCTCTCACTGTGACTGTGGAAAAAGACGAGCAAAGCTGGCACAACAGCTTTGGAAAAGACCGGATGCTGGATCAAACCATTCCCTATTACGGTAACCACTTCGGCAAGACAGCCAACTCAGGACCGATCACGTCCGTAATCAGACTTATCGGTGTCTCTCAAAAGGCCACTAAAACTAAGTAATTATGATCACAAACCTTGAGTCAAATATCTGGGTTCGAATCCCAGCTCCGCCAAGGGTTAGCTGGGAGGATGGGAAGTTATTAGCTAAAAGTTCACCACTTGGTAAAGCGGAAGTGTACTTCTGGCTGTCTGAGTTTAAGTGCCTTACCTCAGGCATCATTAATATGTGGCACTTAGAATCTGTGCTCAACACTTGTCTCTGTGTCTGGTTTTATCCTGTTCCAGCCATCTAGGATATAACTCTCCAAGCCTCTATCCTCCACCCCCTCCAGTAATGTCAGTATCTTGGTTGTAATAGCATACTAGACCTTTGTGAGAAGCTAGTCCCTTCACTTTTATTAGCAAAATACCTTATTACAAAATAAGGGGCTTTATGATGGTATCTTCACACATGCGTGTGATATGCTCTGACTGTATGCACATCACCACCACCCCTTCAGTCCATCCCTCTCCTCTCCCGTGTCTAGAGTCAAGAACACGTCATCAGTAACGGACAAGTGACGGAGCCTGGGCTCTGTAGGAAACAGGAAGCATTCCATTTGCATGGTGGGATGTGGTATTCCCTGAAGAAGAGCTCAAGGGCAAGAACAGGGAGGTTAACTGGGTCTGAATACTTCAGAAGTTCTTGGTGGCACAACAGGGAGCTTTGTGAGATCCGGGGTGTCTTCTCTGCCTGGTAAGACTGGCTTCTCCATCCAGAGGGAGGGAGGGAGTGTCAAGAGGGGATGGATACCTGTCACCTGCTCCCAGGCATGCCTCAAAAATACAAACACACTAGTCTGCCTCTAACTGTCTCACTCACGTCCCTCTCTCCTTGGTTTGTCTGTAGGTTCTGTCTTGTTTTAAATTCAGAGTTCCCTCAACGGGGACCCTCTCACCCATAGCCAAATATCTAAGTGTCAGATTAATCCACACCCCCCCCCCCCGCCACCACCACAGTTACAGCCCGCAGGGCCCATGGGTACAGCTGATGAGCAGAGTTCATTTTAAAAGCTGCTTTCTAATTAAGTCTTCCAGCGGCAAGCCCATGTCTTCGCTGGCGTTCCACAGCTCTATCCCTTATTCTGGGTTAATTAACGTCAGACTCAGAGTCCTACCACACATCCCAATTAAGCCTGGAACTTCCTCAGACTTCCTCGGTGGATGAACAGTGTATCCCTGGGACATCAAAGCCCCAGCTTGTCAGACCCGTGTCTGTAGGCAGAGAGGCCCGGCTCCACCATGCCTCCCCTCCCTCCGTTCACTCCCCTATCAGAGCAGACGGAGCACATCTGTGAGCCCAGCACGTAAGAGGCTGAGGCAGCAGACCCAGTGTATGAGGCCCAAATGGAAATAAAATGGAACAGGTGGTAACAGAGGAGTCTGGGAGGGGAGTGAGGGAGGGGACACAGAAATCTGTGACACGCCCAGTAAGAATTCCACCCCTCATATCAGGCTCAGCTGTGAGACTCTCTGGAAAGTTGTTCCAGTGCACTTAGCAAAGGTTTAGCCTGAGCCCAATTTCATCAGGACCACTAAGAGAAAATATACTTTGAACTCGAGAGATCAGACCCCTCCTGCGACGTGTGGAAAGGGGCCCTTGAGAACCCAGACGTTACCAGTGTACACATAACAGAAGAAGCTGACAGGAAGGCTTCCCTACAAGCAGTTACAATGGAGCTTCTCTCAAAGGCACCTGGGGGCCAGCAGGATGGCTCAGAGGACAAAAGAGCTTGCAGCCAAGCAAGACAACCCAGGTTCGCTCCTCTGGACTCAAATGTTGTAGGAGAACTGACTGGTAGGTTTTTGCTGTGACTGCCATGCACATGCCATGGCACATGCCAGCTCCCCTCAAATTAAAAAAAAAAATCGTAATTTCTTTAAAAAGAGAGGGAAGTCGAGGCTGGAGAGATGTCTCAGGGGTTAAGAGCATTGACTGCTCTTCCAGAGGTCCCGAGTTCAATTCCCAGCAACCACGTGGTGGCTCATAACCATCTGTGATGGGATCGGATGCCCTCTTCTGGTGTTTCTGGAGACAGCCACCCTGTACTCATACACATAAAACAAATAAAACCTTAAAAAGAGAGAAAGAAAATCTTAAAAAAAAAAAAAAAATAGAGAAAAAGCATTTGAAGGGGCCGGGAAAAGGATGTTTGACTTCAAGGAATACCACATCCACACAGCGTGGTGGTCTACCTGTAATCCCGATGCTTAGGCAGTAAGAGAGGAGGTCCCTGTGGCAAGCCGGCTAGCTAGACTGGCCAAATCAGCAGGTTCAAGCTTCAGCAAGAGGGCCTGCCTCAGCAAATAGAGTGGAGAGTGACTGAAGAGGACTCCTGATGTCAACCTTTGGCTTTTACACACACACACACACACACACACACACACACACACACACACACACACCCCTCTCATGAGATATAAGGTGTGCACCAGTGTGAAGCCATCTGCCACCGCATACCAAGAACCCACCCATGCAAAGGATATAGGGAACATCATCTTTCCAAATATAAACCCTCCATCAAACACTTAGCCAGGATTCTTTTATTTCGGCTTACTGAGAAGACGACAAAGACTAAACAAACAAGAGGGATGGGGTTGCCACCCCCATGGTTCCCTCAGAGCCGTTCGAGCTGAAGGTCGTACTGGCTCAGCCCATTCCTCTCACTATTCCTTCTAATATCACGGATGACCAGGTATCCACGACGCTGACCTGCCGCCAGGTCAGAACCACCCGGGAAAGTAAGTACAGCGATTAGAACATGATCTACACAAACCAGGCACAGGCAGGAGCTGCGTGCACCTTCACTGCTGGAGCAGAGGACAACCCAAGGTCTTGCCTCGGACCGCTGTACTTCCCTTCCCTGGAAGCTAGTCCAGCCTCTGCATACACATCAGAAGAAAGTTCAGAGGACTCAGGAGGGTTCAGGAGAGTTGCCGACCGTACAGAGGAGCCCTTGGAGACCTGGTTCTGCGGCATACCCCTCACGGTTTAAACCTGCAGAGGCAGCCAGAACCCAGGCACAGCCTCTGGGGGTGTCTGCGTGATTACTCAGCACTGCGACTCTCCTAGCAGAGAGAACACCTAGTCAGAGGGAACACCTCTGACTCTGCCCCTTGCTTTTTGGAAAAACAGTCCTTTAAAAAAAAAATTCAAAAACAAAACAAACAGAACCACAGTCAGTTAGCTTGTGTTAGGCTGGATTAAGGTATGTCCCCAATCCCAGGTGATTAACCTATCAGCAACTGCTTTCAGAACTAAGGACAGATCCTGGAGGTTGCCCCCCCCCCCCCCCCCATTCGCCCTCCCTCACCAGCTCACACAAGGAGGCTTCACAGAAGTCAGCCAGCAAAGAGATAGAGGAGAGGGAAGGATGGTCCCTTTCAAGTCCCAGAGGTTATAGCTTACATACTCCAGGAACTGGAAATGTTTCTGTACTGAGGGAAGGGGGAGGAAGGGGGGAGGGAGGCAGGGAAGGCTGGTGTGTGTGTGTGTGTGTGTGTGTGTGTGTATGTGTGTAAAGAACAAATAATGTAGCATGATAAATAGTCCTCTGGATAAAATGGTTGTCTCTCTGCCATTTCCTGCCTGACCCGATGTTTTTTTAATGAACATCTATTTTTTGTCATTAAAAAAAAAAAAATTTAAAAGCAGTTTTGGCAAATGTCACACACCCGTCACTCAGGAGGAGGGGAGATGGCTCGGGGTTAAGAGCAGTTCCTGCTCAGGCCTGAAGACCTCAGCTCAGTCCCCAGCACTCATGTCTGATGGCTCACAACCCCACACCTACAGCTCCGGGGGATTCACAGTCCTCTTCTGGACTCCTTAGTCACTCCACACACGTGCACATAAATACATTTAAATCTTTAAAAAGCCAGTAGAGTCCTCAGAGAAATCACAGCAGTTCATTTCAGGTTGGGGGCTGGGCGTCGAAGGACACTTGCAGGAGTCAGTTGTCTCCTTCCACCATATACATGTAAGTCTGGGGATTGAACCTGGGTCATCAGTCTTGGTGCTGAGTGCTCTTAACTGGAAGTGAACTTACTAGCCCTAAAATAATGTTCTTTAAGAACATAAAATCCGAGGGCTGGAGGGATGGCTCAGCGGTTAAGAGCACTGGCTGCTCTTCCAGAGGTCCTGAGTTCGATTCCCAGCAACCACATGGTGGCTCACAACTAACTGTAATGAGATCTGGTGTCCTCTTCTGATGTGCAGGCATACACACCGGCAGAATGCTGCATACATCATAAATAAATAAATCTTTTTAAAAAGAAAAAGAAGAAAAGAAAATTCAAGATGAACTGCATCCAAAACTCAAGTTTCGTTTCAAACGAAGCCGACTGTTGGCACACTGGCCCCAGCACCTTGTGAAGGGCTGCCGAAATTAGTCCTTTGTTCTGTTACTGTGTGCTTCTCTTAAGTCAGCCGACAGCATCCACTGGAATCTCAGCAGATACTTGATGCGCTCAAAGGATAAGCAGGAAATCTCGGGTTGGGGGCTCCCTCAGCACAGCACCTCAGTGTTACTTAATGGACAAAGTCTTGACTCTCTGTCTTGACCAGACAACATACACCACTGTCTGACGGGACACCTTTTTTCCTATACTGGACAGATGCTGTCATGGTTCACTGGGTAATAGCACCGGTGTGAACTAACCCACGTGGAAAGGTCACCAGATTCAAAGGAGGACTGCAGCGGAGTTTTTGTTCTCTGTTGAAATTCAAGTGTCGCTTTCAACTGCTACAGGGCACACGGCTCTCCTCTCATGG